AATAGAGGAATATAAACAATATGCTGCACAATGTGAGAAGCATCTTTAGAAATGGCATGGGCTTTGGAAAACCGTCAGGTTTCATTATCCTTCTAAGGAAATACATTTCCTTGCTGGAACAAAATTTATTTTTCTTGATATTATTCAGTGTATCAAATGGGAAAGGAACATTGAATTGTGGCTTTGTTACAGAAGAAATGAGCTTCCATTTTCTGTACCTCCAGCTTGGCATTAACTGTTCATCAAATGTCAGATCAAACTTCTAACAATGGACTGGATCCTCCTTTGCCCTGCAGCAATCAGAGGGAAGAATTCCGCTGAAGATAACGGAGCTACAGCTACGTGAAAAAYGCATGGGTGAGATCCAGCGTGTCTTTACATAATCAAAAACTGAAAGACCAGCTTTTTTGCACTTAAAAATGCAGTCTCAAGTCCAAATCCTGCCCTGCACTATCCAGGGCTGGGTACATACATCTTCTCCATCTCCTATGGCAGTCTTATATTAGAAGAGTAGCCAAAAGCCTTGGCTGCACCTGACAGAGGCAGCTCAGACTCATCCTTCAGGCTTGAATCAACTCTCCTGAAGAGCATTATTGCTATAGCTGGATGTTACACAATCAATGATATTGAGTTTAGGCTGCCTGACTTTCCCCCAAACCTCTCTGACTATTAACATTACAATAATGATTTCTTCTGGTCAACACCCACATGACAGCTACGGGGCAGGAGGCAACAGCGCAGCTGTGGAATTGGGCATTTCTCAACAACTGGCCTCTCCAGAATCTGCACAAGCAGCCAGCAGTTCACAATAATTCAACAGCTGTGAATTCCTGTAGCACAAGTGGTTAACAGCAATCTTAGAGGGGAATTATTTCCACCTATCCTTGCAGGTAGACTAAGGAGACAGTAATTTCAGAAGAGCAAAACACCTTCTCTGCAACAGGGCTACTACAAATGATCATCTGATCAATTGCTCAGTTGCACCCTGAGCCCTAAACCACTTTGGCAGGGAGCAGGTCCACCGGGGTGCATGGCCRACTGCCCGCATCGTGTTCCTTGCGCCCATTTTGACATGTGCCTCCTTTTGACAGAAACTCCCAGACAACTGGAAGGCAGCCACTGCACATCAGCTGAGCAGACGTCCACCCCATACCACTGCAGAGCAGCTCAGCTGGGACCCATCAAGCAGCTGAATATGATATGTCCCTGGGAAGRAGCTGACAAGACAGACACTGGACTTGGTGGCAACAAAGGCTTACRCTCAGATGTATTTTGGCAGTGCTGAGGGGTCCTGACAAAAAAATCAGTGATGGACAACGAACAATTCCAAGGCAAGGCRAAGCCTCCTGTGCACACTGAAGTTATCAATCAACACAAGCAACGAGAAGACAAAAAAACATCTCAGGTTTGAAAGACAGCCATAGCTACCATGCAGCACAGGCTCAATGCACCTGCTCTCCCTTTTCAGAGCCCTAAATGCAGAATATAGCAAAAGATTGAGGCTGGCAGCTGAAGGAACAAGGCTTTTGTCCCCATCTCTTCCTACCCATGAACACACGCACATGCTCCCATGGTGAAAAGCATGCCGACTCACAATGATGGGCTCACAGGGGTCCTCATCACTGTGAAGAAATAAGAAAATAAACTTACTACACTCCAGTGAAAACAAAAGGCCATATTGTCACCCCGCCTCGCAAGGCCGGGCACACACAGAGGGAAAGACAGGGCCCTATTTCTAGCAATCTGAGTATCAACTCTGCGCTCTCCCCCTACAAAGGGTTGAAAACCGACGGAGCAGGCACAGATCCTCTCCTCTGCAGTCACAAGGGCAAGGAAGGGCAAGGGGAGGCAGCAAGGCCTGATGAAACCTTCCATTTTGCTCACTCTAAGCACCAAGAAATCAGTCTGATCCTATGCCAAAGATTAAGTCTTCTCATCTTCCTGTCAGCTTCTTCTCCTCTTCACCCTTTAAAYATTTGCCATAAATGACTCCCTCCCTGTAACAGAAGGCAATAGCAAGACATGAATGAGTAAATGAGAATCATTCGTTTCATTTAGCACTGCTAGCCCCACTACTTCCGTGCTCATAGTAGGACTTGGCTCAAAACTATATTCTGAGCTGCTGTYGTGAAATACTATGGTTTCCTCATGTGCCACAGTCAAACATGATCACATCTTCCTATGTAAAACCTGTAACTGCCATTTCAGCCCGTTAATTAGCATCTCTTATCGTTACCCTTAACAAAAGCCACACTCCATCTTTAAGTCTGCTTCACAGCTTAAGGTGCTCCCCAGGAGAGATTCGGGGGRTACCTCCTCTTATCTTCCTGTGCAAATTTAGGACAAAGAACAGAATAAGACTTTCAAATATGCAARCATACATCAAAATTCATAACCAGCATCCCCTCTCCCCCATTTGCCAGAGGAACAGTCTGCCAAAAGCTRTTCTCCATAAAGAAAAAACAAAAAACACAATGGGTTTTAAATGGTTAGACCATTTTTCAGTCTAGTGAATCTTTCTCTAATCCAGTAGGAAAGAGAACATTCCTAATAAGACCATGTGAATAGCGGTATCAATACTTMGGGAGGTATGTCAGGCCACCAAGAGAAACTGCATACGTGCATACCAATATATGCCTGGCCCGTACACACACCAGAGGCTTTCCAGTTCAAATGCATAGCTAATTAGCTGGGGAACAGCAGAAAGGAACAGCACTATTCCCATCTGTTAAAGTACCTGTTTTGACAATTAAAAAATAAAATCTCTCAATCATATGCAGCATACTTCCAAAAGGCTGTGCCCAGCTCTCAATCTTCACAGCTAAGAACTCAGTGATCTCTGTAAATCTCAAAATCCTGCCAAATTATTATTGCACCGCTAAAACAAAATGGAGAAACTCTACGAAACACTCCTACTCTACACCCTAAAAAAATGCATCTCAGCATAGCATGAAACAAAACCTTCTCTACAGCTGCATCAGTTCTTTGCCCAAGTAGAAGCTACCTGATCTTGCCTTCAGTCCCTATGAACAAAGTCTATGCAGCAAAGAACCATTTTCTGAAAAGTACATCATTAGGCAAGAGGACTACTGACACAATACAGTTGATTCACTGAATAGGATTTATTTTGTTTTATTTTTAAGATAACTACAACTACTAACTGATAGTTCTATATATACAGCTCTACTGCCACACTATGGGTACTCTGGGTTATTACTACCTACAGAAACCCTAGAAAAGGCTAGACTAGAACTGAAGAACTTGGAAGAACTTTATTGTGCAGAGGTTCATGATTTGCTCAGCTAAGATCCTGGAAGGAAGTCTCAGTCCTGTGTAAAACTGCTTTGGAATCAGACCTTAAAACTATAACAGATGGGCAAGAGCTAGGTATATTCACCAACTGGCAAGTGTACTGTATTTGAGATATCTAGCAATATGTCTCCGAGTCCTTTTCCTGACAAAAGAATTTCTGTTGAGATTTCAAAATCTGTGGAAGAACAGGGACTAGAAAGAGGAGTCATTGATAAATACTTCTAATTCTGGTGCAGATAAAAAGCATATAGCATATCTAAAAAGGCTTTTACAGGTATTACGKGTGTAGAAGAATGAACCATAGTTGCTGATCTTTCAACCCTTGGGCTGTCACCATTTTAAAGGAAGAAAGTGAGGAGCTAGGTACTGACCAGAGAGGACCGAATACTCAACAGGCACAGGAAGCAAACCTGGTATGAACAACTAGTAGCTAGCACAGAAGAAAAAGTGTGTTCTAAACCCTRACATAACACATCACTTGTTTAGGCATCTCTACATCATTCTACTCATAGGAGCAAAACACAAGTTCCTGGGAAGGTTTCCTCTGTACATAGACTAAAAGCTTCTGATGGAAAGGAGAAATATTCAGGAAAATATCCACCAAAATATCATCCTTAATTAGGAGTTGTGCATTGTTTGGTACATATTAAACCTGTCCCCAGTAGATGCTTCCAGTGAGCAAAACGGCTCAAGTCTACTGCAAGACTCCTCAGGAGGAATAATAGTTGATAACTATTCTGAGTCTCATTGGGGAAATTTTGCCTTAGGTAATAAAATCAGTGTTGCATTCCAGCTATCACAAAGTTTCTCAAAAAAACTGAGATGTCACTCACAAATATACACACATTCCTCTTGCCCAAGATGTAGCAGACAGAAGACAAGCGCTACTGAGAAACTCATGGAAATTGGGGCACAGCACTCTTGAAAGAAGACACTGCCAAACACTTTGCTCTCCCACTTTCTCCCCCTCCTACACACACATAAGGACAGTCCCTAAATATTTGCTGTTTACACCAGAAATACACTTCAGTATTTAGATGTGCTTTTGCTACGAGGGCAGTTGCAGAAACAAGGGAGGAGACAAGCAAACTCCCCCCAAATTCTAGTCTCTCTTACTATCTTCCAAGTCAACAACAGCATATTTACTAAAAAGCACAGAAATAATGATGCTGAGGCCAAAGAGCTCATCTATAAGAGCATAGCAACCTGAAAGGCAAGAAGAAAAAAGTGCTTCCATCTTCATGCAAGGYGTCTGAAATTATTTTATCAGCTACAGGCAAACGCCAGGGTATTGAAATAATTAATTAAAATGCAAGGGAAAGATGGGGAAAAACTGTGAAGGCATTTTTTATAGTCACCTCACATATTGCACAGCAACTATGCACAATGATTTGACCCACAGAGGAAGGGGAATGAGATCGAATAAAGGCACCTTTCATTATCCCATCATTTAATATTGTTGCTCCCAGAGGATAATAGAGGAAAACTATCTTCTGCAGAGGGCAACAGGAAACATASCCCTTATCGATCACTACAAGGAAGCATGAACAGGCACACACGTGCATACATACACACGTACACACACACACACCCTTGACATCTCCTATAGCAGAGATTAACCGTGGATTTTAGATCTAAGCAGCAAAAGAAATGCTCCTGAAGTTGCCAGCTATGTCCACTGCACTTACCGGTTGCCGAGACAGCCAGCAGCCCCACAGAGAGCAGCAGAACCCGGCTCCAGGAGCTCACTTCCACCGTCATGACTGCAAAGATCCCCAGTTTTCCCCAATTCCTTGTGAAGCCACAGCTGCATCCCAGCTTGTCCCATCCCGAGGAAGGCTGCATGTCAAACGGCAGTGGGAATGGGGTGCGCCGGGGGTTGGTGGTTGCTGTGTTTTCCCCCCCTCTTCTCTCCCCTTTTGCGATTGGGATAGTCCTTGACTCTGCTAGAGGAAGAGGAGAAAGGAAGAGGAGGGAAAAATATCAGGTCAATCTTGGTTTTCCTTTTTTTTTTTTTCGCTCTCTCAATTTTTTTTTAGCCAAGAAAAAAAACCCACCGCATGGAGGGCTCTGAGCTTCTGCAGCTGGAATGAACCAAGTGCAGCAGCAACTCGGGGAGAGGAGAGGAGGGCTGGCTCGTCCCTCCCGGTGGCTGTCTCTGAGCCAGCTCCCCGGCATGAGCAGCACACAGTCCCTAGGGATTTATACTTTTTTATTAGCCCATTGATTAATCACTCCGGTATCTTTGCTCTCCCCTTCACCAAATGCCGAGGAGGGGGCAAGGGTGCTTTGGTGAGGGGCTGCTGTGCAGCCATCAAGTGGATCTGGCTGAGGGACGATTTTGCTTCCCCCAAGCAGCACAGTCCTCCCACTTGCCCCCACCCCAGCAGAAACAGCAAACCACAAATTATGCCTTAGCAGGGTCTTTATTTGCAACACACATTACAGGTTTCTCKTAGAGGATGAAGCATTTCGGGCTCCCATTTTACACGGAGCCGAGCATGCCTGCCTGTGCACGCAGGCACAGGAGAGGAGAGGCGGCCGAGCGACACAGGCTGCCGCGGGGAGCGCCCCCTCCCCTCTGCTTCCCTCTGTAAACAACTTGATGCTATCAACAATTCCTATGATGAAGCAAATTCTGTAAGGAACAAGGGGTTGCAAGAGAGCAGAGCCCCCGCTCATCCTAAGACAAGGAGCCCGGTCAAGCAGAGCCCCCAGTGCGGGGGGCATGGAGTCTGGAAGTGTCTGGAGCAGGAAGGGCCATGCTGGCCATGCCCCCTCCCAAGTTTATCCTGCCCCTCTGCGGAGCTGCAAGGGATGCGCCGCACAGCCCGCCCCCCCACACCTGGTGGTTTTAAGCACTGATCAGTACATTTGTCCCTACGGTTGTACGCAACATGAGGAAAAAATGCAGCCTGTTAAAGCCACACTCAGGAACTTAACTGTCTTGGTAATGATGCTCCCATCTATGGACAGGAAAAAATAACTCTGAACCGGTATGTGACACCAGAGCTGTAAAGGCACTCGCGAACAGCCTTCCCTTTTCTTCCCAGCCACACATTAAGAGTCTATTTTAATGTTTCCTTTCGGCTTGAAAGGCATTGAGCAGCCCCCCCCCCACCCTGCACTGCCCAGCACAGACAGAGGGGGAAGCTCCCAGGCTCCAGACCCAAATCAGATCCTCCCCTCTCCTCCAACCCAACCCCCACCCCCTTTTTTCCATCCTTTTCCTTCCCTTCCTTGCCCCTTATTCCAGCAGCACGGAGAGCAGCAGCTTCCCCACTGCCAGCCGAGCTCCCGCGCTGCTCGGGCACCCTGTTCGCCTGCCCAGGGGGCTGCAGGAGCCTCCCATCTCCCCGAGCTCTGCATTCACTGCCATTTCATGCTGCAAAGTCCCCTTTTGAATTGTTCCAGTGGCTTTGAATGAGCTTATCTGACATCTAAAAAAACAATTTGCACCAGGAGCTTACAAATCTATCCTCCCGTCCCCCAAACAACCCTCTTTCTCACTTACTTTCCCTGCGCCCTCTCTGCATTCAATCCTTCCACTGCCTACATTGTGAACCAGTGCCAAGAGCCCAGGCAACCAGGGCTGCTACATGAAAGAGTTGCTTTATATCCGTTTAAACCGCAGTGTCCTATTCAAATAGACCTTATTGTTCAGAGAGACAGATCCAAGTATAAAAGGCTCAGAGCGGGGTMCCACACGGCACAGCTCCATACATTGCTCTTTCCCTATACCGCTCTTCACCTCCAGGAATTCCCCAGCCCCCAGCCCGAAACTGCGACGGGCTGAAGACRCGATTTGGTTGCTGCGCACCAGGAGATGGGCTGAGCCAAAAGCGGCTAGCCCTGGATCAGCAGCAGCCACAGGCATAATAAAGTCATTGAAATGATACAATCCCACTTTATTCCTGGATAATAAATCGTATCTTTTTCAAAACAAGGGTTTCCTCCCAAGTCAGTCCTCCTCCCAAAGCTACTAGGTTTAGGGTCTTGCTGTCTTAAACTTGCATTTCCTAAATGGACGAGACTGAAAACACAGCAGAAACTATCACAGCAACTACCAAGCTCCTGGACTGCAATCCATTCCTCATTTTTATTTGTAGGTTCTTGCTAATGACTTGTTCTTAACCTCTGCCACTCACTCAGCTTCTCACCTTACAAACTAACCTCCCTATAAAAGAGGGACCTTAGCTGCAGTTTAACCACCGCTAGGTGCAGGCAAACTCTGCTCTGCACTGCCACCYACTGTCACACTGGGACTCAAATGCAGCTACTTCCTAACTTCAGGGCCTTCCACGTTCTCCRGAGACAGTTTAGCCTACACTTTAATGTTGTGTTTAATCACACCTCTCCCTYGCTGCCCCAACCATCTACAATCAAAGGTTTCCTCTCCTCTGACATCCCCACAGGGCTCTTTCCCCCACCCAACCGTGTGTCCCCATGGATGGGCACCATACCCCTGCTTGTGAACACGACTGCGCTGGCGATGAACAAGGAACCCTAGGAGGCATTCATGTCTGACTACTTTCTCTAAAATTATCATCAGTAACTTGGTATGGGAATATGAAGCATCTTACTAAATCCCACAATTTTATTCTTAACCAAGTATTATCCCTATTTGGGGATTACAGTATTTACCTGGGCATAGCCATGAAGTAACAGCCATAAATAATCTATTAACAAGAAACCACAGTAAACAAACCTAGGTAACAGGAGAATCAGTTATAGTATAGGATTTATCTTGGCATCAAAAAACTCAACAATTAATTGCCACATGTGAATGTGACCAAAGGCCTTTTAAAAAACTACCTTATACAACAAATCAAGTTGTTAAAAGCCCATGTAAGCCCGCAACCATAATGCCACTAAGGATACTGAAGYGAAAGCAAATCCAGAAAGCAAGATACTCTTGCTAGATACCTCTTTATGCTGAAGAGCATGCAAACTCCAAAACTGAGTGCAAGGTCTTTTCACATAGCAGAGATAGGTAGCTAAAAATGTTCCTTCCCCTTAGGCACAAACCACAGAAAAACAGAAGGGCCACTGCAACTAGAAATGGTGTAAAAACAGCAGCACAGCAGCTGCAGTCCCAGCTAACCTGTGCACACACAGACTAACTCAAAGCCAATGAAGTTGCATTTACAGTCTTAACAGTAAAAGCAGAAAAGAAGAAAGTTCTTCTAGTGACTGAAGTGTGAACCAACGGTTTCTCCTGTTCTCACTCCATGATAAGCACAGTCTTGTACATGACTTGCTGTGATGGGCAGATCTGGAGTGGACAGGACCATGCAGTTTCAGGCAGACAAACTGCTGCAAGAATTATTTGGAGACTTATGCTAGAGCACTCCCGGGGCCTCGCTGAAAGACTTCCTGCTGCCATTTCTATTTCTTCCGTTGGAAACCCAGCAGATGTTTCCAGCTGTTATCCTTCATACTGGTTGCCAGGCCCCATGGTTCCGTGGTTACCATGACTCTTCATTCCATTCACTACCTACAAAAACATCCTCCTTTTGAAAAGATCTGTGAAAGGAAGAGGCTGAAAGATGCTCACTGGTGGAAACAGCCTTTTAGCTCCAGTTATAAAAGCCGAGGGTCCATTCCCACTAGGGCCTTTCCCCAGACACACCTGGATCCACCACAACACTCCCCAGGACAGCTTGGACAAGGCCTGCCACGAGATCTGGAAACGCGTTCAAAGCCTCTCGGAAGAGCTCCGGCCCGCGGCGCAGCCGTCCCCACCGCAGCCTGCCTCCTACTCCAGCCTCACCGAGGTCCTCAAGAGGGAGGGCATCAACTCCCAGAGCGAGTGAGTGACAGAGCTCTAAGTACCGCTCAGGTCCGGGCAGAAATGCTGCTCCTTTCCCRGTCTGGCTTTGCTGAACTGGGCTTTAGTAATCCGATGAATGGAAAGGCTCAGGTACAAGGGGTGCATTGGTTGCTTTTGGACATGCACCCTAATGAAATAAAAAAAATTCTCCTTTTACCACCATAAAAAATTCTTTGGAAAATGATGCCCAATGAAATCTAGCTACTTCAAATTCTGAAGCATCAGAAGCAGCTGCTGCATTTGCTTCTCCACAGCATTTAAAGAAAAATAACTACACACACATCAAAATATTTACAGGAAGAAGCAAAAGCAGCATTCAAAGGAGCAAAATCAAAAATTAAAGTGTTACAAGGAAACTACTCTAAACAGCTGATCTTTTACAAAGAAAAGCTGAATTTAGCACAGAAAAATCCTACACCAAATCTTGCTCCAAAGGACAAATGACAGTAAGGCAAGAGGGACGCATTTCAGATTAATAAGACATTATCTACTCTATATTCCTGAAGCAGAAAAAGTAGAACTTATAAATCCAGCCAATATTTAGCAAATTTTGGAAAACGTCATTTCTTGAAGCCTAAATAAAACATCCCACTAACTCTGTCCATCTTGCTTGGCAAGAAAAAAAAAAGGAAAAGTTATTCACTCATCCAAAACACAAAGATTGAGGATGAGGAAACAGATTATTTCACAAATGAAGAAACAGAGGCATAAAAGAGGATGCACCTACCAGTGCCTCAGTGAGAAAACTAGGAAATAGAGCTTGGGGCTCTGGCTCCTGACCAAACTCGAAGTCTCTGGAGTGCTGAAGCCATGTAAAACAGTGAAGGCATCAGGGAAGCCACTGAGGTGACACTAGCCTATACCAGGATATTCAATTATATACTTGAAGCATCTTTACAAACATTAAAGCTCTGTTAGCCTCCTATTTTGGCCCTGCCAGTTGCAAAGACATCATGGTAGGGAAGGCACAATTCTCCTATAATTAGATGACAGGAATCTCAGTGTATTAGTACTCTTTGCATATACGCTCATATAGCGGAGCACATTCATCATCTGTTGTTTACAAAGACCCCTAAGCCTCTAAACCTTCAAACAATGAATAGCCAAACTGAAGTGTTAAGACCAAATTACTGTCCTGAGTTCCAGGAACAGCTTTAAAGTGGAAATTATTCAAGTGAGTCAAGTTTCTACCTCTGACCTTGAAGGCAGAATCTTCCCTGCCCTAGCCTAGAAGGCTCTCTTCAACCTCAAGGACTAATAGAAAGCTCAAGAAAAATCTCCCAGAATATGTCAACTGTCAATACCCAATTCATCAGCTGTGATAACACTGGCAACTAAAGATTACACCTTGTGACCTTGTTTGGTTTTGCAACCTTTAATTATTTTAAAATATTGACTTATGCAAATTGCTAGTATTTTTAAATGAACCTTGAATCTTTTGAATAAGCAAGTTCTACCTTCCTGGTTTTGTTCTGCGGTATTTAGACACAGAATAGCAAGTTATTGAGAACATCCAGAGCAGGGTTCAGAGGAGGGATCCCTTTTGCAAAGTACATAATTATCTACCAACAATTTTTTAATTGCTACGAGTGCTTATAAAGCTCAAACCTAGGTTCCTTCTCTCCGTACTCTTCACTATTTTAATTTCTAGAGTATGCTATAGAAGTTCTTCCTGTTTTGAAATTAGAAAAGACCACCCATGCTCTTTGAAAATAGGGAAGGGAGCAGCATCCTACTAATGATATAGTGATCTTATGATTGGATAAAGTTACATACGCTTATAATTCAGGATTTCCTAATTTTAATAGGATACTTATGAGACATTTATCTACCCAGCACATGTAAAGAGCACTGGTCTTTTCCTCAAGCTGAGGAAAAATAAACTGATAATACATTAGATTATTGAATACACCTGGCTGTGAGAAAACAAAACAGAATTTAAATTGATATTCTGAGTGACYAACTACTACAGGCATTTACATGTGCTTAAAAAGAAAACTGTTCTGTCCTGGTAACAGTACTTGTGTAAGGTCCCACAGGGCTTAGAGTTATAGATAAACTCACGCCTACATCACCTCATGGACGTGATAGGCTAATCTCCCTATCTGAGCAAGCAGTAATAAGTGCTACTACAGACAATCTCAACAGAGCCTTAGAGGCAATAACTAAATCATAAGAGGCAAGTCCTAGCAATTCAGACCCTCACCCTACAAAATTTGAAAAAAAATCCATTGAACCCTGAAGGCTAAAGCTGGGCACACAAGTCTTCATACGGCTGAAGCCCCAAGGAAAAGCTGGGACTGTTCTGTTAGGCATCCTGGAGTAAGACATACAGGCCAGAAAGGACAGTTTCTCCCACTTACACACACACAGAATGATGGGTTAAGCTCCGAAAGGTGAAATAAGAACCATCACGTGGATATGATTTAATAAATGTGCTGGGGCAGAAGGGAAATTCTAAAAGAGATGGGGACCAGGTGCTTGCAAGASAGCAGAAATCCGCATAAAGCAGACATTAACTGCTCTCGTTGTTACAGTCCACTGGAAGCACAGGACAGTAGTTCTGAGCGAGCMAACTTAAAAGCAAGCCCTGAACTCTCAGGATTCAGGCTTCAATGGTGGTCTGCTGCTGTGGAACCCTCAGATTTCTACCTAAGGGTAGCCCTAATGAGAGCTCCAGGTAACAGCACCTGTATCCAACTGGAGCTTTCATAGAGGCTCCACAGAGAGGTCCGCTTTGAGGTAGCATCTTGTAAAAACAGSCTTGGCTGAAGCTCCTACCTTCGTGCCTCCAGCAGGTGCCTGCGTGCCCTCCCAGCCATCAGCATGTCCACAGCAGAGAGGCCCAAATACAAGTGAGAAACTGACCTGAAAAAAAGATCACAGCATTTCAGCAACTGATCTCCAGACCAATATACTGATCTCCACATGCAATTAGGCTGTAAGGGCTCTCCCTTCRTGGCTGAACTGTAAATGCAGTTAAGACATCCCCACCTTGAAAACCATTTTGACCATAACCATCACCACCTGCACTAATCCACATGATTCTTCCATGTAGCCAGTAGAATCCASTACAAAGCCCATTCAACTCATTCATTTCTGTTGAGAAAGCATCCTCGAATGATTTGACATACAGTTTACCTTTGATTTAGTCAGAATATTTTAGGCACAATCCTTCAGGCATACTTTATATAGTGATGCTTTGCATATCTATAGCACTATTGCACGTTTCAAYTACTCTTGGAGAAAATGCACCAACTAAGTTCTGTTTTGTTTTCTTTCATGTAGCTTCTTAGAAAAGAATTGTATCAGAGATGAAATTTCCCTTCCGGCGGAGCAAAAATACTTGAGCCTCACACAAAACATTAATGAGACAGAAATRCAAGGTTTAGAAAGCAGCAAGATAACCAGCTCTATTTTAAGTCAGGCCTCCTTGAACAGCAGCCATACTCCATTTTCTTACAGAAACCAGTTCTTAGATGAAACAGAGGGCCTTGAAAGCATATACAGAACAATGATTGGAAACAGAGAAAGGGAAATGAAACTAAGAGCTCTCTGTGATGCTCAGCTTTCTGCAAAACCCATCAGCACTGGGACTCTGTGTTCACCAAAAACCCACAAGAACTCAAAAGGTCTGGAGGATGGAAGTGCACCAGGCCCCCAAGGCAGYGAGGGCAGCAGGGCAGCGCTGCCATTTGTGCCCACACACACGGACATGGCCAAGAGTCCAGACAACCAAGAAACAAAGGTGCTCAAGGAGCTCATACAGAACAGCGTGCTCAGCCCTGCCAGGAGCAGCGGAGCCGGGCCACCCTCAGCGGCGGCAGCAGAGAGTCCAGCCGCAGGACAGAAGCAGCAGCTCCCAGTGTTTGCCAAGATTTGCTCCAAAACTGACTCCGAGGTAGCCACAGAGGCACTGCAGGCCCCAGGTATGGATCTGGGCATGGTCCTTGAACATCAGCTGGGAATCACAGGGAAAATTGAGTTGGAGAGACATCATTGCAACACCCACTGTACAGAGGAAACCCTTTCCAAATCCTTGCAAGATGTCTGAAAACTACAGAACTGATATTTTCCATATCAATTTTTCTTTCTTACTAGATAATGCTAGGGTCCATCGCTACCCTGAAATCTATCCAGTGTTGTTGTCCTATGTAGAAATAGGGGAAATACAGGATAGTCAGGACTTCACACAAAGAAGTCCTCTGGATGGTACTTTTGAAGAAGATTCTTATCTTTGGATCATTAGTTTTTCAAAGCTAGAAACTGGTTTTACACAACGATTTAGGATTCCTGGGTTTCCACTGAAACATTTACAAGGTCCCAGCTGTCCTACAACTAGGGGCATTGACAGCTAGGTTCCATAGGGCCTCTCAGAACTGGCAAAGACAACAGTGCATGCCCAGATTTAGTGTTTAAGGTTCTGGACTACATTTATCAGTCTGGAGACTTCCAGCATTACTATGGAGAATGATTATTTCCCATCTCAGAGAGTTTTGAACTTTGGGCAAAGGTTCTTGTTCTGTTCTCATAGTTTCACTCATTCTTACGGCTTAGACAATTAACTTTATTTCGTCCTGTGTGTCAGGATTTAATGGCCCTACAAGTGAATTTGATCTGCTAATTGTTCGGTTTGGGTCTCTGTTGCAGAACTACAGCCTGCAAAAGCAACTGATAGCTTAAACAGACTTTGCTTACAAACAAAACATGTCCTTTTAATTGTGTTCTACAGACTACTGAAGAGACTGCATATTTATTAGCATCTTTAACCCCCCCTTTTTTTTTTGTTTTACAGTACCTACTGGCGCACTGGATAGAAAAAATAAATACAACATGAAYACTTTTGTTCCACGCTTTTCTGCTAATTCAACAACATTAAATCAGCCAATGTGGTTGAGTCTGAGCTTCCCTCCACCTCCTGTCTTCCCAAATCAATCAAACTTTCCTCAGTTCCAGGTAATGTAAAATAAGTGTGCAATGTCAGAGGAGAGAGAATAACCTCAAACTCTTGTTGAGAAGGCCAGAGCACTAATACTCTTCCAAAAACTGCTTTCTAATTTATATAGTAGAGCCCTTAATTAAAAGTAAAATAAGGAAAAAAGCTGCTCATTTCCTACTCTTACCATTGACACCGAGCAGCTTTAGGTCACAAAGGAAGCATTGACAGCACCTWTAAATGAACCAAGAGGTTTACAATATAGAACAATGCTGTTTACTGCCACATCAGATATACTTACTGAAAGTTAAYCCCTTAGCAGAAATTAAGTATATTAGTAGTTATTAGGCCAAAATAATATTCAAATATATTTGATGTGATCGCTGTTTAGAGATTAGGACATTGCTTTCTCAGTCTAGCGATGCAGGGGGGAGAAAAATCACCAAATTTAAAAACATAAAATGCTGAAGAGGAAAGGCATCTTGCATATCCATGGGCTTTTCATCTCCACCATACAGAAGTATAGCTTTATTTTTTTTTTTTTTTAAAAAAAACAGGACCCAATTCATCCTACAATGCATTCCTTATTATCACTTGCCACCAATCACACATGACCCAGAGCAAACACATCGCACCAGGCTGAGCTCCCTTGGACATTTACAGCCTCCAATTTCTCCTCCAATAAACCAATGACCAGTTATCACAACAGATCTACTTAGCACAAGAGTGCATGGTCCACCCACATTCATCATCAACTGGAGCCTGAGCTCTTTCCCAGACAAAATGGAACTACAGAACAGAAAGACYGATACACTCAATGCCTCAGACTTTAGACCCGCACAAGGCTAAGAAAATCAATCAGCTCAAGCTTGATTCCTTTGAACGAGGAACATTCCCCCACAGAGCTTACAAAAAACAGTAACAACAGTTAAAAGACCAACCCAGACTGTTTTAAAAATCATGTCTTATGTATATTTAGCAGGGCCTGTATCATCAAAGAGCAAGGATCCCGTATCATCAAGCTTTGCACCCTTCTTTTGGATGCTATTCCAGACAGGTGCGTTGAAATGGTTATAAATATGCCTAAATTTGCAGAACACAGATGCTAGCCACAACAGATTAGTCAGAGCAGTTTGTCATGCACCAAAATTGACATTGGTGCCACTGCAAAAACAAATTAGAGGCAAGATGCTGAGCTGGTGTAAGTTAATGTGGTTCACTGGAAGAGTATCTGCTCCAAGTAATTCAAGGGAAGGCTCTGAACCTCTAAATAAAACATCTATTGCACATGCTCTAGTTCTGTATAAGCTTGGGATTGTTGTGCTGAGCAGCAAAACAGGTGGGACTGACAGTGAGCAAGACACTTAGTCGTCGTTTTTCTCCTCCCCAGGTAACTCCCTACAATCCACAGCAGATTTTCCGGYCGCCCTACGCTCCTTTGCTGAACTACATCCCCCTGGTCCAGCCCGGTTACTCATACCCACAGAGGACGGCACCCAAACTCCCCAGCAACATGCGGGATCCAGCAGCCATGGCAGGCGACGGGCCACAGTTTCCATTTCCTCCTTCCTACGGGTATGTCCTCACAGATCCCAATTCCGGTCCGTGTACTCCATGGGAGGGTTTGTCAGCCGCTGGAACTGCGGATGTAACTGGGTTGCCCTGTTGCACTCTCATCAAAGTTCCTATCAGGACAAGAGAATAAGGCTTACTATACAGCAGACACTCCAAGGCATGATAGAAAAACAAGTGATTCATTTTAGATGAAGCTGAAATGTTATGCTATCAGATAACCACAGCCACAACCTCCAATTAATATTATGGATAAAGAAAAGTCTAAACACTTTTTCCTCAACATAACAAAAAGTAAATGCTTCAACATGATAGGAAACAAAATATTTTGACACTGTCAGAGTGAAGTGAAAGGAATCACTTTGATAATTTCCTATAAAAACTGTAGTAGAAAAATGAGTATTATTTTAAGAGTCTGCTGAAATAACTTCTCTGGAGATGGAAGCTCCACATAACATCATTTAAWACTTATGGGATAAACAGCAATAACACAATTCCCTTAGATTGCCTTCTGCAGTACCTTATCACATATCTAAAAAGACAAATACATGCTTTTTAAAGCCTTTAATAAGGGGAGAAAAAAGAATCTGCAAAGCCTAAACTCCTTTTAATTTTTCTTGTAGGTTTAGTTCTACACCTGCAGGAGCTATGAGGACTAACCCCTACTACTCTTCCAGCGGGAGCTGTGTAAACTTTTAAGTGATCCCAGTTTTCCTATTCTATTCTTCACACAGGAAAACTGGTATCTATTTAAAAATCCTAGGGTCCTAAGGACCATGTTTCCTTGATGTGAAGATTTTTATCTAAAATTGATCCCTCATGACTCACATGGTAAAAAACAGCTTCATAACAATTGACCCAAAATATATTTTTTAGTATTAAAGAATAATATGAGGCTTTTCTTTTTTAAAAGATGCAAAGAAATAATAAAAATGTTGTATTTACGCTAAGTGCCTGATCTGCTTAAAACTGAATGCTGCAGCAATAAAGATGGCAAGTAGAAAAGAATCTTGGACACAGATTACAGAGCTGCAACGGCGGTCGCGTATTCGAAGTGCGATTAGCACAAAAGCATTCAAGAGCTGGGTGGCAGAGCTCCACACATGACATGTTCCTGTCTTATTACTTCCAACTCAGGTGCTAATCCAGATGCTAATCTGACTTCAGTATTAAGGAAGATCAAGCCTTAATGCTTATATGAAGAATCCTATTTGACCAGGTTATTAGCGTTTCAGGTTCTAACACTTGACAGGGGGGATTTCATCCCTGCAACATAATTTCTGCCTCCTCTGGAGCCTGTATCATCACTGTAGAATTGGAACAAAAAGACTTTCTCTAGGCAACAACAATCAGTATCTATCTGCTATATTTCAGCCACAGCTTGATGGGTCAAAAATAAGACTCTTCAGCTGGAATGCTACAGCCCAGGTGATACACATCTCAAAAAAACAAACATTAAGCAAGATAAAGGGAAAGAGCAGCTAAATTTTGAGTTTAATCTTGCTCAGCTGCAAAATTCCCTTTCAATGGAACTTTACAGAATAAACAATTTACTCATGTTTTTCCTAATCTAAAACTCACATCAGAATTTGCTTTGGCTAGAGTGAACTGTCTTCTGCCCCAGTAAATTTGCATTCCTTCTGAGCAGAAAAGCAAGCYGGGGTTTTATGCTGCTAAATTCACTGCTTTTTTCTCCAATATTTCTAATACAATTAACATAACAAGATAAAAGAATCCAGTCTTTTTCCATTTTTCTTCCTTTTAAAGGACTGATGACAAACAGGAAATCAGTATCTGTACTGAATTACATTTGCCACAAAAGAGTTCATTAAGTAATAGTACAAAATAAAAATAGTCTGTCAACTTGAAGGATTGACCAAATCCACTTAAGTGAACAGCTGGTTATTTTCTAGAGCACTCCCTAGTTTAAAAATGGTCAGTATGAGCAAGGAAGAGGACAGAAAAAGGAAAATAAGGAATAGCTGAGATGTCAGCAGGCAAGGCTACCATTGTGACCAGCTTAGAGGCTCCTGTCTTCCACATACTCTAGTGGAACTGTTGGCTTTGCCCCTTCTGCCTCCTCCCTTCATTGCCACACTAACAGCTCTGCTCTTTGCACCRAAAAAGGCTCATGAGGCTAAGGACACAACAGACCATGAGATGAGGATGAGAAGCATCATCAGGAGACTCCCCTTTCTATGCAGCTCTTASGTATCTGTCAGTCAGTGCTAGGACATGATTTGTTCTTCCTGYCCACGGGCTTCCATGCACAAACCTGACCCTTGCAACAAGAGCCCCAGGGAGCCAGGATCCCTCCCTCCCCAGCCAGGGACTGAACGGGAAGGCATTACCAGCTGCAGAGTTCATGCTCTCAGCACAGGAGCTGGAAGCAGGTCAGTGCTAGTCCTTTGTTCAAACAAGTGTCTGCTCTTGACAGAAAACCTGCCAGCCCTTCCACAGTCTACTCCATCTGATTAATCCAAACCCACAGAGTGTCTGCAGGGCTCAGGCTCAAAGGTCTTGTTCCAAAGCACTGATGAAGCCCTGGAACGCWGTCTGCAGTAAGAGCACGACACACTGCATTCAGCACCACGGAGACAGCTTCTTGGGAACAGAGGTCATCCATGAGACGGCCCTGCTATGAACCTCTTGCACCTTTCTTGCATGTATTTAAACACAAGATAGTCTCAGAAGAGCAACCCTTCTTAGAAAGGGTCAATTTCATTATCATCTTGTTGACTTTCAMCATTTAATGACTTAGTACAAGGCTCTTCTAGTGTTCCCATCCTTCCATGTGTCTACAAGATTTTCRGACAGAGGATTCAACACTTTAAAAAGATGTCACAAGAGAAGGGATACAGAAGCCCTACTACAGGCTAGATTTGACTGCATACTTCTTAGTCAATCATCCAAAACTGAAGTGATGAATGTTAAATATAATCTGATCCCTTCACACTGATCCTTTCAGATCTTGTAAAGCTACAGGAAATGAGAAGGCTGTGCCCCAACCATGCCAAACTCCTGCCTAAATGATCAGGAGATGGATCCTGAAGCCGGGCTCATCACCCAGGTCAGTTCTATTCCACTGGACAGTTGAATAAAAAAGAATCACACAGAATCACAGGTTTTGAGAAAACTGGAGGACGCAGATGAACTCTGGCGTTAAAGCCTTTCATTATTGGGCATGCTTAGGACGCTGCAGAGTTACCTGGGAGAAGGAGCAGCCTCCATCCACAGAGCAGCAGACGTCCTTCCTCGATGTCTGACACTACTCATTGCTACCACTGCACTTTTTCCCAAAGTGATTTAGTCCCACTGTCCAAAACAAACCTGTGCAAAGAACAGCTTGCCTGGGTCCATGGTATTTAAGATAGTAGGTGGGGAGGACAGATTGATTGAAGAGTCATTAATCAAACGCTGGCTTTAGCCTTGTGATGTCACGATCTGCAGAAACAGAGCTCAGGGACTTTATTAAATTACAAGAATGCCAAGMAAAATAGATAGCCTTAATAATACATTTTTGCCTATCTGCTCTATTTTATACCAAGCTTGCAGAAGAGAATTAARGAGTTCTCTACTATATACATTCACAATTTAAAACGAGTAGATCCTCTCTGATGCAGAACTCAACTATTCCAGGCTAAAAAGTTTCCTTCTGCTAACATCAGAGATCACTGCAAATGAGCTGGGGGTGGGGGCACATATGCAGGAAATCACCAAGATAACACATCGAGTGAAAAAACTGTGAACCTATATCCTTAAATTATGGGGCAGCTTATAAGCAGGATGCAGAATCCAAAGCTCTTTGGGCAGCATGTGGTCCACTACCCTCCATGGAAGAATTTAGCCTTTCTGAATCCTGAACGGAGTCAGCTACATTCAAATGAACTAACTAAAATTAGAAAAACTCACCCAGAAGACACATTCCATACCTGTTCTCTTAAGCGCAGATGTCCAAATTCTTTGGAGATTGTTTTAATTCACTTCACTATCACCTCCTGCTTTACACTCTTTAATAGTACATGGCAACCCTTTAAGAGCTGACATGTTCTGCCTCAAAGCTGCCATTCCCCTCTCTAAGAGCACACTGCAGCTAAAGATCAATGCAATCAGACAGTGTGATTCTTTTTTCTTCTCCTGCTATCTGGGGAAGAAAGGGGGAGATATTCACTAAACATAGTAACATTTCTACCCAGTAAAGAGAAATGACCCTGAAGGTTATTCTAAACATTAGTGTATTCTCAGAAAAAACTACAGCTTTTTCTTCCCAGTTTAGTTTTATGTCAAGTTAATGACTTGATAGAAGCTACTTCTAGTTTGTACCCTGATCCTGTTTCACTATCATAGGTGCAATGCTCAGCTATTTTCCAATAATCAAAAGGAATTTCGTTACACTTCAAAAATACCACAACCAGTAAATCCTACAGGATTGTGATGGCTCATTTATGTTAATAAAACCAAAATCTACTTCTACACCTTTAATTCCAKCAGTTTTAGTGGTGCTTTACACATTAACCTCCAAATAAATCTTGCAATGGGACATGGGTAAGTATACTGTAGTGAGAGAAGCCCTGGGGGAGCAGACTGCACAAAGTCTGTATTTATCAATCTATAATCACACAGGGTCAGGGTGGGGAAGCTGTCGATGGGATTTAACAGGTAAATCCATCCAAGAGACACAGACTGCCATGGTTAGAGAATGGTCCASTGTTAGGAGAGAGAAACACTCAGGAATGCAATCAACATGTTGGTATGAGAACTTAATCTCATATTCCCATTTACCTYGCAGAAACTTGCCCCCTTAATCTTTCCACAGATTCTTCTGTGAAAACAGAGCTCATCAGAAATGAGGTTCCTTTCTGAGAAAGTAACAACCCCTCTCGCCRCTGACAGGAGAAGGTCTCCAGGGACAAAGGAAGCATCCAGCTGCTTCCTGGTGAGCAGCAGGAAGCAGTCTACACACATCTGAGTATTTCACACTCGGTGCTTTCTTGTTCCTTTCGGCATCATCTACGGAGCACTCAAAACTTCTGCGTTCAGACATATGCATAGAAAATAAGACTAGAAGGAAATTGCAAAGGTCACCTAGTCCATCTCCTACCCTAAGGTAGAATCAACATTACATGAACCATCTGTCCCGATAAGGCATACAGAATTGACAYGGGAATAGCCAATCTTGCCTTGGACAAAAAAGGACAGACTAGGTAATTTCTTTAAAGCTCCCTCCAGTGTGGTTCTCCATCCAACGCTTGAGAAGAGTACATACCTTTTAGTTTAAGTACGTAAACACTGATGTCCAGAATCAATTTCATGTCAGTTTGTGTTCTCTYGTTAAAAGCCAAATCAACTGTGTTGATTTTATGACCTTTATAATCAAAACCTGACATATTTATTGCCGTAAGCTGCCAAGAGTCTGACACAAWTTTAAAAGAGGGAAAGTATTTTTAAGTCCGGCCACTTAAGTGGCCTAGTCTTCAGCATGTCTTCACAGCTTCAGACATTAGCACAGCTGAAAGAAGTGAAGCTCTACTGCAAGCTGCAGTTCTGGTAGAGGATGCTATATTATTCTTTTCCTAAGCCAGGAAAATCTCTTTGTGAAAGCCTTTTCCAGGAATTCTTCAGTCAGTGCACTAACACAAACACCCAACTGACTCACAAAACAAACCCAAAGAGGCCCCAGGGACTTTCTTCCAATTCCT